ACGTTACATTCCACTCTTATATATATCCGCCTACCCTATATCTAGTAAGAACTAGAACATTCGCCAAAGTACAGGATAATTCAAGAAAGGAGATAGCGTGAGAATCACATGATCTCGAAGACGCAACAATATTATTTGACACAGTGGTGACAACCTGTAATACATAATAAACGTTAATATATTCATTGGGTACCCATTATCAAATTTACTAAATTTTTATTGGAAAAACTTAATCCTCAAATAATCAATTTCTTTTTATACCTTGTAATACTGGCAAGGTCCATATATTGCATTATACTTAATCATTTTATACTTTTTTTGCTACAACACTTTCTTTGAGAAAACTTACAGTGGACTGAGAGTCAGAAATAATTAATATTCTTGATTAATTTACATTTATTTGTGTAACTCGTACATTGTTAAAACCTTGTAACTAACAAAGTCTGGATGCACAAGTAGTCTGGTGCGTGAATAATTTGATTTTTTTTTTAAAAAAGCCCATTGGTAATTATAATGTTAAAAGAGTTTAGAACTTCTGATTAGTTTCAAACTTTGCAATACAATCCCATAAATATTTTCTATAAAATAAAATAAAAAAAATTATAAATTGTTCATTTTCATGTTGTCCTTTAAAACTTTTTCTCGGAAATATATTTAAGCAAGTACACATTGTCTTTTGATTTATTTCACATAGTTCATTGTATAGATAATATAATGAGCATTATTGTTTGTAAATGTTGCTTCTTTGAATATCTAAGACTTAAAAGATGACCTACTGTACCTGTGTTTAATTTAATACCATGCTCTAAGGATTATAACATATTAATATGCAGAATTCATTACATGTAAATAGTAGAAGAGTTAAAAAATCCCACTTCTAAGCATTTCACTTGTCATTTACTTACGCAATAGTCAGTGAGTGCAGGAAACATGAAATGAAAAAGTGCAAGTGAGATATTCTCTAGTACTTTGAAGGTATCTTCAGATTTTAAGCTTTATGGCATTGCTTTGTGTAATGATACGTAATTTTGATAATATTTTACAAGTGGAATAAATATTTAATGCTTTAACTAATCTTCCATCTAGGCATTTTATTTTAATAAATATTAAGTCTGAGGTGAATTAATGCATTTCATTGACATTATTGATGGAATATGTATTCCTATCTACTCAGCTTTTATAAGTTTAAAACATTAATTTATTCTAATATTTTCCATACCAAATCATTGGCATAGTTACAAAAAATGTTTATCTTTGTCAGACAAAATAATAATTTACTTATTAAATGCTATAACACACTTTCTTGGGCTTAAAAATTACGGCAAACTTAACGTCAGTACAGTAAAGATAAATTAGGGTAATTAATAAACTTCACACTGATGATGTCACTATTTGTTATTCGGTTTCCTTTTGCAGTTTTTATTAATTTATCGATTAAAATCTGTCATGTAAGATGTTTGGCTCTATTTTTATTTGTAGGGCAGCATATGCCAGCCCATGAACAAGAACTGGCTACCAAAGTGTTACAGATACAATCCAAACGATTTTACTTGGATGTTAAACAGAACAGAAGAGGGAGATTCATTAAAGTTGCTGAGGTAATATATTTTTTGTTACATAAAAGACAAATAACCTTAAAGAATTACGTATGAAGATTCGTTCACTGAATTGTATTGTAGCTTGAATAGTTTTGTAAGCTATATTTTAAATGTTGTAATTTATTTCCATTTGTTAGCTAGAATGTGCACGATGTTAAGATAGGACTAAAACATCTAGAAAGTTCTAAGTTGACATCCATTTTTTCTCTTACATTCGAAGCTAGATTGAAAATACGAGAAAGTTATGAAGTGTGTAGAGTTATTTCAAAATAGAGAGTTAAATCAATCAGTGTCTGTTTGCTATCGCGCTGATTGAGATACTTTGTGCAAGTGAGTTGACTTTACTTCAATCTTCGTTTTGTTAGAGGTTTAAAAGCAATTGGTAATATAGGCCTACAGTAATTTATTGGAGTGTAATGGTATTCAAGGTTTTAGAAACCTGAAAGGAGGGAATAAAGTAATTTGTTCTCATCCCATGAGCTGAAAGTAGAATAATTTTCATCAGATAATTTGAAAAAATCTACCAATGAAAGTACAACATTATAACAATAGTTTGTTCATAAGGTGTTTACCAAATCAAAACACTGTTTTACATGTTACAAAATTAAAGTTTAGGGTACTGTGTGAAATCGCCTACTGGTATCTGATCTAATTTCAGTCACGATGTTAGAAAAACACGTAGATTCAAGAAATCTTGATAGAAATGAATATAAACCCTATAACCCGAGCACTTTCGAAAGGTGGACTTTTCTTCTTCAGGGGCAAACACGTATTGTACTCAAAAACAGATAATACGTGTTAATAGGGGGAGGAGAACATTGCATAATAGGACATATTATATAAGGATATCGACAACAGTATCCTTCGATGTTTGTTTAGATGATATCTAGAGTTTATGGCCCCACCTATGTTGTAATGAGAATGACCAGCCACGTGGGTAGTACGTGTTGCTCTGGGTAATACGAGGTTTATTGCATACTAAGAAACCGTTGATTTAAACAGTCTGGAACACTGTCTATAGCCAAAACAGTCTGAACTTTGATATTTATTCAAACAGTCAGATAAAAGGCCTCTACTAAATAGTTTGAAAGAAGAAAAGTAAAAGTGACTGTGTTTGTGTTTGTTTGTTGTTTTTTTTTGTCTTGATAGACTGCTTATTATGTGTTTCACTTTTGTCAAGTCTCTTTATTTCATATACTATTAACACCAAGAGTAAGAGTTTTAGTTTTACTCCATAATCGACACATTGATCAAATATCCTGTTATCTAGCACAGCTTTAGAGTTAATTCAGTTTTACCTGGATATGTCACAGAAGTATCAAATTTTAGTATATTACAATACCGTCTATCTAGTCACTTAAGTGTTCATGTAGAAATATCAGATTTCAGTATATTAGAATACAGTCTATTTCGTAACTCTGAAATGTTGATGTAGAAGTATACTTCAGTATATTACAATTCCCGAAACATCAAAACATGTTTTACAAAATTGATTAGAATAATAGTTTCGACATTCTGACAGATGATGACATGGGGAATTCTGGGTATACCCTCAGTGCCAAATTTGTAATGATTTTACCTGTATTAAAAATGACCACTAAGAAACTGTTTAAAAAGAAAATTAACTTTATTTTAGCCCCTTAGGCCAGAGAATAATTAGGTTGGGATCTATAAGAACTTTACTCATCATGTTGAAAGGATTCACAGAGCTCAAAAGGATCTGAATATGTGTTCTAGAATTTGAGCCACTCATAGTCATTGATACACACTAGGATTAACTTAACTGAAAAAGTATTTATATTGAAAATTTATAGTTTTAGTACTTATAAAAGAGTATAATATTTTACTTCAAATATTATTATTTTTCTAATTCTGATGTTTATATCATAATTATTTATACTTTTACAGCTGACATAAAACCATGAGTATTAGTATTTTCATGTGTGAAAATGTATTTCAGATTGATAATCATCTCTTCACAGAACAAACAGCTATTACTTTGCGCCATTGCATAAAAGAGTAATATGGAAGATTGCTCAACCAACTATTATTTTTTGGGCAATTAGCAGAGAAAGTACGTTTAATGTGGCTGGGGCAATAATTCAAGCTTTACATTATTTGAGAAATGCATTAAATACATGCGAAAATAAGCAAATGAATCATTCTGAACCTGCACCACAAGGAGAACAGAAGACTCATCTGGCTGGCACAACTATTGGCAATAATTTGGTTCTTAGTATGGGATAGCCTGCATTACAATTCCAGGTAAACACCCTGCCCTTTTTCCCATCAAAGGATACACTCACTCAATCTCATACCAGTGCAATTATATCAACCCAAAAAGCAGGCAACATCTTGAAGACATTCATGATGTTAGAAAAACACGTAAGTTCAAGAAGTCTTGATAGAAATGAATAAAAACCTATATTGATCAACCAAAATATCCTGAAAGGGATATGTATAGGTGTTTCTGAGAGGAACAAAGGACTCAAGAGAAGAGATAGCTCACAAAAAGATATAAATACCCTTACACTGAAAATAAGGAGGCATGAAAACTATGATTTCAGAAGCTCCATGTCTCAAAGATGTAAAGCAGAAGGCTCATCCTGACCCACATGAAAATTGAGGAATATACCCTAGTGAATATGATACTGGCTGGGGGTCAAGACTGAAATGGAGAGCCAAACCAGACACCTCATATAAGACAACTTTCGAATGAGAAAAGAGGTCGCAACAATGGATATCTCCTGGGATTGAGCGAGTAGAAGCCAATCGTCCATAAAGTAGTAGAACAGTAAGTCTAAAGAATCAACCTCTGAGCAAAAGCCCACTGAACTTAATTGAAAACACACGAGACCAAAGCCAACCCAAAGGGAAGGGTTGTGAATAGAAAATTCAATCACTGTGGGTGAACTGAGGGAAGCAAAAGGTGGACAGACAATTTCGGATTTGAAAAAAAAACAACACCTGAGACATTAGTCTCGGTCGTCCACATCCAAGGAGGATACCCACCTCATAGTAATAGAATTTCTATCTTGAACCGAGGAATGCCTAAATTGGTTCAAGAGGGACGAATTTATGACAGGGAACTAATGTCCCATCTTCATTGAAACAACAGTGTGAAGTCGAGGAAAAGTAGTTCTAGTTGGATGAACTGGAGAGTGGAAAGACAGGGAAATACCTGGCTGTCAGGGTTTTATGTATATGTGGGCAGATGATTTATCTACAGTAGGTGCCTGTGACTTGCTAGTGATAAATTCGAACAATAAACGGACAGCACACAATACACTTGTTTTAAAATAATATATTCAAAACAAGTCAAACGTATGTACACAAATGTTTTTACACTATAGGATATCACAGTTGTATCTAAAACTCTAAATAATTCTCTTTTCCTGTCAAAAGTCTACTCAGGCTGATTCAATTACTTTAAAATCCAACTGACAAGACGAACTATTTTTCTTTACTTTGCTTCTTACTGTATAATCAGCGATATATTCACTTACCACAGTTGTATCCTGAACTTCCAATAATTATCTCCTTTTCGTCAAAGTCCACACAGACGGGTTCAATTACCTTAGAACACCCTTTGACAAGACAAATTATTCTCTTTATTTCTATTAAACTGTGAAAATCACTTTAAAATACTGCTCGTTATAGCTAACCACTCACACATCGATTAACTTTATATTTTCTTTCACTAACTAATTTTCTGACCGAACTGCACTTAACTTCACTTTACTTTGTACTTCTTGACTTGCACCCACGAGCCACCTATATATATATATATACCTTATTCACTGAGGCCTCGAAAAATACGGAAGATTCGAGTAATGTGACGTCACCAATATTAGTAAAACCTAGACAACAATGTAATTGGATGTTGGTGTACTTTGGTGACAGATTTTCTTGTAGGCAGATTTTGTTAAACAAGACCGATGTCTGTAGGTTTACTTTCTTCTTAGAATTCTTCTCAAGAAGTCGATAAGCCACGAGCTAGATACCACCATCTGCTTACCCATACCTATAAATTTACCACCAACAGTAATCACAATTCACACAACATTCAGCCTTGATAATGGATGCAGAATGACATTCGAAACGCGTACGGCCAACTCATCACTAGCTACAA